CGTCTGTCGCCGCGTGGGTCGATTCTAACGTGATCACAGTCGTCAGCTGACTCTTTCTCTCGCCGTCTCTGTGGACACATTCAAACCGCGCCGCTGTGGCTTTTCAGACCCGGCGCCCTCGGCGTGTATCGGGCAGCCTTGAAGCCGAATCGTCTCCTCCTGTTGATTTAGTGGGATTCGTTTCCATGTCCACTGCGGATGTTTCTGTATCTCTGAAACCGACCGGAGACCGTCTCCTGAAATCCCATTTTACTCTTGAACTGTTTTTCCCTCCCTTAGAGAGAGGTGTGGATTTGTTCCCATTGTCCCATTTCTGGCAGGGAAAAACGTCCCTTGCTGAAGTTTTCTGTTTGCTTCTCTGAATCCTTTGGTCAACGTCGAGTCTCTTTATTTCAGTTCTTAATCCTTATTTGGTTACGAGCCTTTGACCATAAGAGCCGTGGAATTTCAGCGAGCGCTTCCTCTGCATCTAATGTGAAGACCACGATGTCTTCCTTCTAATGTGTGCACGTGGTCAAGTCTTCCGAGTGAATCACACGCATGGATTTTTTTTCATAATTTAAGACACGTGGCTGACGTTTCCAGGATGTGGGTGGCAGAATATTGGCCACGTCGAGCCGAGAGATCAGGAAGGGGCTGGATTGCTGTCAGGTAAAAATAACTTTAAAGGAAAAACAAAGTACATTGTGGAGACGTAGCCCGTGCCTGCTGCCTAATGGGAATGCTGCGCACCCAGTCAGGTGGCCACGAGCCACAGGAAGTAAAAACCAGCAAGGACAAGCTGGTAACGTGTCATCACGGTGGCAGACGTGGCGACGCATCTTTCTCAAACGTTGACAGTTCAAAGGACAAAATAATTATTTTCAGTGAGGTAGAGATCTAAGCACGCACACGAAGGGGGGAGTGTGCACGCCCACATCCCGCCATTGGAAAGCAGGCCTTTCCCCCACAGACGTGGAGCACGTCCATGGATGGATGGTGCCTGTGACCTCGAAAACGCGCCCTCCCCCAGGCTTCGGAGCATGGGCACCCCATCTTGGGGGTCCGGCCGCGACTGTGTGGGTCCCAGGCTGTCGACAGTGCTGCCCAAGTGAGAAGCACCTGAGGTCCTCACCCACGCGGGCACCACTGTGGTGACACCCCCAGACATTCCACCCACCCCGGGGCCACAGCGAACTCGTGGGCACACAGTGGGCCGGGGACGGTGGCTTCATGAGGCTGTGAAGCTGCGCTGTCTAGGGTTTCATGAGTTCGCTCCTTATTGGTGAATTTAAAGCACACGCATGGGAATGGGGGTGGGGGGCGGGTAATAAGGGACAATCAGGGCTCATTCAGTTGTCGGGGTCGCCCACGGCTTTACAAAGAGGAACCTTCCTGGGCCAGGGGCACCCCAGTTCCCTATCCAGTGGTTTCGCTGGAAGAGGGTCATACAGTTGGTGCCGTGTCCATTCGAGATGGTGTCTCAGAAATGGACGTCACCGCAACCTCGGTGGCACCAGCCGCCCGCTCTACACAGCGCGACGAAGCCACGTGTTGGCACTGGAAAGGAACCTCGCGCAGTCTGCACCCCTGGGGCACAGGAAGGGAACAGCCAGGGGCACGCGGGAGGGGCCGGAGGGGGACACGGCAGGGCGGGGACGCGGCGAGGCCGCCGGGACGTGGGCGGGACGCGGCGCTGGGCCATGGGCGCGCTCGGCCGTCACCGCGTCCCCTCGTGTGCCTTCCGCAGCACCTGCTACTCGCCGCACAGAGCCTACGCCCAGAGCAAGCTGGCCCTCGTCCTGTTCACCTACCACCTGCAGGGGCTGCTGGCCGCCCGGGGCCACCACGTGACGGCCAACGTGGCGGACCCCGGCGTGGTCAACACGGACCTGTACCGACACGTCTTTTGGGGCACCGGGCTGCTCCGGAAGTTGATGATGAGCTGGTGTTTTTTCAAGGTAAGCGTCCAGTTGCGCGTGCGTCCCTTGCGGGCCAGCTCGAGGCCACCCGTACGGTGTTTTCCGTGCGGCGTGGGACGTCGTAAAGGGACAGGCTCGTCACGTCTGCTCTCGGAAGCATGCGCTCTGCAGCGGCCCGGGCGGCTGAGGCGCGTGCACGCTGTCCTCGCTTTCCGAGAAGGGACTTCAGCGTCCTGCTTCTGGTGTCCTTGAAGGGCGTTTGAACGGCACCATGTGGCCGCCGGGCCCCTCCGCCTGGCGAAGGTGTGGGTGCCTCCTGTCCTGGGGCACCCCCTTCTGGAACCGGCGGCACACACGGCCGCACCCTTTGCGTCCAGCGGCCTCGCCCTCGCCGTCACAGCCTCTCGGGGCCTGACGCAGGGAGCCCGTGGCATGTTCCTGTCCTGTAAAGCGACCATCCTCGTGTCCCAGTGAGACACGCACATCACAATGTGTGTTACCCAGGACGGCTGCCTCCTGGCTTGGTCCTAGGAGCCCCACAAAATGCCCGCGGTGGCCTGGAGGCGGGGACGTGAATTCAGGCGCTGAGTAGGGGCCACCGAGCAGAGAGCACAGGAGGGTCGCAGCCCGGGGCTGGAAGGAACTGGGTCTCTCCGGACGGAAGGGACTCGCTGTGCAGCCCAGACAAAGCCGGGGACTTCTGGCCACCGGCCCTGAATGCTGACCGCGGGCGACGGCCAGGGGCTTCTGACACAAGCCCATTCCAGGAGCCCGTGTCCGATGGGCTGGAAGAGGTGGCACTCAACACAGAGGGACGGGCTCGGCTGCCTCCGAAATGCGAAGCTGGTGCCCGTGCCGCAGGCAGCCAGCCCGGCGTCCGGGAGGAGACAGGGCTGGAGCCTGGTCACGTGGCCAGCAGTGACGTCAGCCGCGCCTCCGTCACGGAGCCCCAGCGACGCTTCGGTGGGTGACAGCACTGCGCACCCCATGGTGGCACATGACGGGGGGTTTCTGCTGTTGCCCGGACGTCGCTCTGTAGCCGCGACCGCCCCGTGTGCCCCCCGTGGTGAGCATCGGGCCTTGCGCCCCACCCGGCACGCTCGGGGCCCGACTCTCACGGGCCTGGCCTCTCTGCCCGAACCGCCGTTTCCCGCCCTCTGGGACCTTGGCTCCCCGCCCCTGAGCGTGTCACCTCGGCCCACACGTGCCTCAGGCCCCCGAGAAACCCGCCTCACTGCATCCACGCCGAGAGCCGTTGTGGGGACGCCCCGTGTCGCCTCCCTGCCGAGTGCGTTTGTGACGCTCGGAGGCTTTAGCCAGCTCATGAGGCCTGCGGTTTCGGAAAGAGTCGCCGCCCGCACAGCGGGTTTTAGATGCGTCTGCCTATCAGAACGGGGGCCCCCATCGGGGAGCGGCCACCGCAGCGGGGGTGGGGGTCTTCCCGTCGGCACGTGATGAACAGCGACCCAGCCGCACGGAGCGGTGGCCGGGTGACCCTGCACGTCGTGGCTTCGTGTCGAGTCCCCGGGGTGGCCCCGCGTCGTACCCACCCGCTCACCGTCCCAGCCTCGAAGCCGTGCTCCGCTCCGCAGGCCGACGTGTCCTGGTCACCTCTTCCTGTCCCCACAGACCCCGGACGAAGGAGCCTGGACGTCCGTCTATGCGGCTGTCGCTCCGGAGCTGGAAGGCGTCGGCGGCCGCTATCTGTACAACGAGAGGGAGACCGAGTCGCTGGCGGTGACCTACGACCCGGAGCTGCAGCACCAGCTGTGGGCCAGGAGCTGCCGGATGGCCGGCGTCCCCGACGTGACCCCGGACGCACGCGGGGCACAGCCGGCACGTCACGAGGATGCGGCCCTCGGCCCGGCCCCCGCCGGTCCGTGAGGCGTCGTGCGTCTGTCCGGGCCACGCCCACCAGCCCTCAGGGCTCTGTCCCCGTGGGTGGCCGGAGCTGCTGGGATCTCAGGGAGCAAAGGGCACGCTGAGTGACACCCCGGGCAGGTGGCCCCCAGCCGTTGCCTTCTGATATCAAACTGTCAAATTGTCACAGGTGCCATTAAACCCTGCCACCCAAGCGTGTGGTGTCGTTGCTTAGAGCAGAGCGGACGGTCAGGCTCGGGGTCTGCAGCGCCGTGACGTGAGCCCCGAGGGGCCCTGTGTCCTTCGTCCTCCCCGCTCGTTCTTCTGGAGCCCGGGCTTCGGCGTGCGGGTCCCAGAACGGGACAGCCGCGAGCCCGCTCCGCCCATTCATCGAGGGCCCTAGGACTGGCCACCTTCTGGGCCAGCATCTGCGCGGTGGGTGTTTCCAGCTGGCGCCAGGCCTGACGGCTGCGTCATAGCCCTGGGCCCACGAACTGCGCAGACAGGTGACCAGGCCTGTCGGGGGTTCTGAAGGATGGGGACAGGACAGGGGCCTGGTGCCTAGTCACCATGGACGTTTGATTGCAGAATGCTACAAGGTCATGTGACCATGGAGACAGACCCGGGTGGGCTGGGGCCACCAGCCCAGGGACGCCTGGGGCCCCCAGATGCTGGGAGAGGCAGGAAGGACCCTCCCCTGGGGCCTCCGGAGGGAGCGAGGTGCTGGGACCCCTGATGTCACCCTGCTGGTCCCCAGGGCGGCAGAGGCTGCGTGGCTGTTGTAAGCTGCCAACAGCTGATAATGTGTCACAGGACGGTCACAGGGGTGTGGATGCCGCAGGCCTTTCCCCTTCACTGACCCAGCAGCAGGCGAGGAGGGCGCGGCCCTGTGTGAGGGACGCTGGGCCCCACGTTCCACCCCGGGGAGGCGAGCCTGGCCAAGGCGATCGAGGGGAGTCTGCGTGCACCCTGCAGGTCTGCACCCCAGACTTCGGCTCTGCCGCCCGCTGGCTGGCTCCCTGCCCATTGTCTTAGCCAACAGAACCCGCCACAGGCCCAAAGCGTGTGTGGTCATCCCCGCCGGCAGCCCGTCCTTGGGGGATCCTGGTGGGCGGAGCCGGCGGCTTCGTCAGTCACTGCTCCGCCGGGTGGACCTGCTCCTTGGCCGCCCTTGGGGACGGATGGCTACGTGGCGGCCACTTCGTACCACGTGGCACAAAGCCGGCTGCCCCCGAGGTGTCCCGTGAGTGGAGTCGTGTCCGGTCCCTGCCTGACGTCGTCGAGTGCTCGGTTGGCCACCCGAGGCACCCGAGGCCACGGGCCGACGACACAATCCTGACCTCTACGAAGCCCCAGCCTCGCCGTGTCCACCGGTCGACCGAGAGCCCAGATGGCCGAGCCCCTGCAGGCAAGTGCCCGCTGCCGCTGTCATCGTCACGAAGCTCGTGTCCAGCCCTGAGCTCGGGGCGCGGCTGCAGGGGGAGCCCAGCCACGTCGACGTCCTCCGCCCTTGAGAGGCCGAGCTCGCTGGCCCCCGGCAGAGGCCGAGGGCCCCAGGCTGGGGAGACGGGCTGCGAGCCCACGGTCACAGGGCGCTGGGCGCCTGCTGCTGTCCCAGCGGCCACACAGCCCTCGTGCCACTTGCTCCCTGCGGAAGTGACAGCTGGGTTCCCAGGAGTGAGCACGGACACCCTCGGCTCCTCGCCGGAAGATTCCGGGAGCGCAGAGACACCTCCCGGATCTGCAGGAGCCACGGGGGTCGTGGGGTGAGTAACGCTGAAGCTGGGCCGTGGTGGGCCCCGGGGAGCATGGGTCGGACACTGTCCCCGCCGTGAGGGACGCAGGACGGCATCTGAGCAGCAGGGAGGACGGGTCCCCATCCCCGAGCGGGCGTGATCCTGGAGTGTGTCCCTCGAGGGGCGTGGCCCCTGGGGACAGCGCGCCATGTCCCCTCCGTGTGGCGTCCGTCAGTGTCGTGGACGCCAATGGGCGGGGCCGCCACATTCATTCATTCACTCGCTCCCTCATTCACTCATTCACTCATCCCACAAGCTCGTGTTACGCATTGTTGTGCGGCTGGCTCTGGGGACACATGCGTCACAGTGCAGGGGACACACGTCCGGGCAGGGCTGTCGCGCTGGGGACACGTGAGCGGCCGTGTCCCGTGTCCCGTGTCCCGTAAGCAGAAATGGTCATCGCGAGGGCAGCTCCTGCCGTGTGGGGCCCGGTGTTCCTGACGCCGGCTTCGGTACCGCACACAGCAGCATGACGACCGTCGCTCGGACACTGAGGACCGGTTTTATTTTAAGGGAGTGATGTGCACGTCGCTTCTCGCTTTGAGGAGGTAAAGCGGACCGCTCACGGTCAGGTGTGTTTACGGTGGTGCCACGTGGTGCCTCGATGCCCAGCTGCACGCTGAAGAGCCCGTGACCAGCACCCGATGAGGGACAGCGTGTCGCCCGCGGTGCTCAGGGGCCCTCTTTACAGTCGTGAGACCCGGATGAGACGGGGGTTGGAAAGCGTTTCAGTGATGGAAAGCACGTGTCCCCAGGGCGCCCGGCGGCCGTGCGGGCTGCGGTCCTGAGCACATGCGTGTGACCACTCGGCCTCCCTCTCTGTGGCCACTGCATGGCCTTCGGTGCTGCTTGTGGTCTGTGGGGTACGTGGAAAGGTCGGGGGGCGCCAGGCGAGGGCCCCCCACCCCGTCGCAGGTACCAGGGGCACACAGCATGGGCGTGTCACGAAGCACAGGTCAGCAGCGCCCCGCGCAAGCTGTCCCCACACCACACACGGCCGCTCCACGTCCCCCAGGCGTCCAGGCAGCTGACAAAGCTCTG